CTCCATGGACACTGGAGCGTTCAAAATGCAATTAACGACATATTTGTAAGCAAGACGAAGCATAAGAAGGCTTGACGTAAATGCCTGTGAAGTTGAAGTCGTCTGTACCATTGGTTGCAGAAAAGCTGATTCTTGGTATGGATCGTGTCAGTGGCAATTTCGTACTTTACCTTATTTTCTGTATAAATACAGTCACTTTTGTCATAATAAATGAGCCTGGTTTTACCGCTGATTCTCGCGTGTTCTGCTTTACCAGTTGAGTGGGCACTGGTCAGTAGTTAAGCAGTGACCTCGTGACAAAAGACCAAGCATCAAAACACTAATGTACTTCTAATCAACAGAATTCATGTTTCATCAAAATAGATGAGTCATTCACGGTTGTATACCGAGTAGGCATACCCCTCCTAGACATAGTTGAAGCTGTACAGATGATTAGGAAGAAACCTGACCAATGTCTGCAAAACAGCTCTTTCATGCTCTTTGTTTACGCCAGCCTACTACAAGGCCATTTCCTTGGCGGTACATTCGAAATTGGTGACATTTTTGCACGTGTTTGCTCTGAAATTTATTTACTGCTTATTGTCATATAATTCTTGAAATTATGGTCCAAATCTCTAAAAAACGTGTTCGTAGAAACACAATTGTTTTAGATAGTGGCCTAAATTCGGTTATAACTGCATTACCGCCTGGTAATACAGTATCAACTACTAGCTCTCAAAATGGTTTGAGTGCAGATCTCACTCCTGTGATACAGGTGAAAGATGTTCTGTTAGAGAACTCTGAGTTCTGTAAACTAAACCTCCTTTTGAAAGATATGCAGAGGCAAGTAAGTGAAATTCAGAAAAAATTAGATCAGTTTGATAGTATGTCACTGCCAATCTCAAATACCACGGAGAACCGGTCTGATATTGGCCAGGTTAAGTGTTTACTGGATGTAACTCAAAATAAGCTTTTGAATTTAGACCCAATAGCCTGTCTTTTAGAAAGGCATCCTAAAATATCTCCAGACAACCTAAATAAAGCTGAAAATCTGATTGACTGCTTGGCTACGGAGGTGATGAAGCGTATAACCTCTTCTCACCAAGCTATAGTTTACAACGTCCCAGATTCTCTGCCCCTGAAAACTGTAAGACACAAAATCCTGATTTGTTGCGGCATGGCTAGTGTTCCATGTGAATGCAAACGACTTCGTAAAAAGTCTAACCAGGCTAATTGCCCAATCATTTTTAAATTCAGTAATTCCCTTGATGCTAGTAAGTTTACTAAATGTCAGGATCACTTAAGACTGAATAGCAGTTATAAGTCTATAACCGTAGCTCAGGATAAAACACCGTGTCAGCGCAGAATAATGCGTAGTAATAACCTGGTCACCTCCTCTAGCTTAGATTTACCAAATAAGGATCGTGCACAGCAACAGACACCTAGTGCTGAAACTAGCATTCAGCAAACTACACAACAACCACACCTGCCAATGGAACTAGGAACTGATTTAGATACCAGTACCCCTGTAAATAAAGCCTCATCGAAAGATGTTAAAATGACTAGAACTTCTGCAAGTTGTTCTAAGAAATTTCCCCCCAAACGTAGTAACCTCACCACGATGAACAAATTTCGCAGGGTTGAGACTAATGATGGGGAAGAATACTTTGTATTCAATAAGCCTGCTGAGAGTAAGAATGCCAACAAACCATCACTTGTTACGAAAAACTCCTCTCGAAACATAAGATATCTGGAGGTGTTCCGCATGCTCCACCTTATAGAAAGTCAGGCTCCAAGACTCCTAAAGTCTTGCAGCCAAAGCACCTTCCTTCACAATTCCCTTTAAGTTATAAAAACAACCCGAAGGTGTATACCGGTATGACGAATAGCAGTTGGATGGGTAGACCTTTGATGCTATGCCTTTTAACCGTCAACCTAGGCCCAACCTGTACTACCCTTATATCCAGGAACACATGGTAAATTTTCCAGGTGTCCCGAATCACTGGTACGACCCATGGCACCTAGGACCACCTCATTGCACTCCAACCCGATGTACAGACACCCAGTCCGACCTCCTTTTCATTCATAAATTCTTGCGGTGCTGACGCACAAATAGATTTAGGTTATGGTGACATTTTAAGCCAGTTTGTAGTATCCCGTGACTTATTCACGATATTGCTAATTAATGCACGTTCCTTAATCAATAAGATATCTGAACTAAGGACATTATTATTAGTCGCCAAGCCTACTGTAGCTCTGATTACTGAGTCATGGTGCTCATCCTCTGTACTTGATGTGCATATAGGTATCGATGATTACACTGTACACCGTGCAAACAGAGATTGCAAGCGTGGTGGAGGATGTCTCATATATATACATAACTCATTTGTAGTCAGTAAGGTGGAAGATGAAACAATGAATAATGTACCTGACTCACTCTGGGTTGTCTTACATGGAGATAAGTACAAACTTCTCATAGGCTGTGTTTATCGAGCACCAAGCTCAACAAAAGAAACTGATGCGTTATTAGCTAAATCGTTTGCACACGCATCCTCGTTTAGTGCTAATTACAAAATAATTGCAGGGGACTTCAATCTTCCAGAAGTCAATTGGCTAACTAGTTCCGGCCCCCAACGCTTCGACGAATTACTTGCCACTATAGACTGTTATGGATGGCAACAACACGTCCAGACACCTACTCGTGGTGACAACATGTTGGACCTTGTTTTTTGTCATGACACAATCCCAGTATCCACGTATGTTGGTAATCGATTTTCCAGTAGTGACCATAGAATGGTACTCTGCTCTCTGCCTTTCTCACCACTAAATACAGGAAACAAACAAGACTCAGGAAGCACAATATGTCGTAGTTACAAATATACAGACTGGGGATTAGTCCAAGAACTTATTCGACTCTGTCAATGGGATGACTATTTTACCACTGACTCCCTGGAGGCCTTAGTAACCCTGTTTTACAGGAATGTTACCCTTTGTCTAGATACAGTTGCTCCAAAGAAAATAGTGAAATTAAGTAGACACCGAACTGAATATATTCCAAGGGCACACCGTAATAAGTTAAGGAAACTGAAGAAACAGTACTATTCCACTAAGGACATATCACTATTGCTCTCAATCCACGAGTCTCTTGAATCTATCAAGCGCCTACGCTCTCAAAAGGACCTCGACGAAGAGTTAACGGCACTTGAAAGTACCTCCAAAGTTTATAACTTAACGGCACTTCTTAAAAAACGAATGCAGTCGGCGAGGGAAATCCCATACTTACTTCACGACAAAGTAATCTACAATGAACCTGCCACTATCTGTGAACTTTCAGTGATTGGTTTGCAAACTTTAGTTTAGAAACACATATGCCTGGTGAAACCGCCCCCCTTACTATCTCTTCCCTTGAAAGCATTGTGTTCACTAATCAGTTAATAGTACAAGCAATTAAAAGCCTTAAACCTTCCACTAGTACGGGACCGGATGGCCTCGCTTCGATAATTTTCAAAAACAGTGGGTGTGATATACCCCTGTTACTTCTTAAATTCTTCTCAATATCTATGGACACTGGCACTTACCCTAGTGAGTGGAAAACTAGCTTCATAATTCCACATTACAAATCTGGTGATAGGGCAAACGTCCGCAATTACAGACCCATAAATATAACCCCAGTTATCTCACGAATCATGGAGAAAGTTGTAAAAGATCAATTGTCAGACTACCTAATTAGGGAAGATCTTGTTACAAGGTCTCAACACGGATTTCTCAAAAATAGATCCTGCGTTACTTGCCACTTCGACTTTTTCAACTGCATCACTAGTAGTCGCGAAGCACGTAAGCTAGTCGTTGTTCTCTACTTCGATATATCTAGGGCATTTGACATGGTATCTCACAGTATTCTCTTTGAGAAGCTGTACTCTTGTGGAATTCGCAACCCATTACTGAACTGGTTAAAATCATTTCTAAGCAACAGGGTACAAATAACCAAAGTTGGATCTGTATTGTCTCATCCTAGGCAGATCTCAAGTGGGGTCGTGCAAGGTAGTGTCCTAGGTCCACTTTTATTCACAGTCTACATTAACAGCATTTGCAAGTGCTTCACCTTAGGCAAACCATTCCTATATGCTGACGACCTCAAAGTCGTCTACTCCTGCTACACTCATGAATTAAGCGATATGGTTACTAAAATACATCTTGAACTAAGTAGCCTTGCAACGTGGTGTGCTGAATCCTGTCTAAATTTTAACATTGACAAATGCGGCTGGATTTGTATCGGCAACAGTAAGCTTGATCTAACTCTTGAAATAAATGGGCGAAAACTAGCTAAGCTCAACTCAGTCGTAGATCTCGGTATTAGATACTCTAGTAACCTAACGTTCGCTGAACAGACTGATTATGCCAGACGTAAAACGCGAAGGCTGATAGGATGCATAACACGCAATTTCTTTTGTTGTGAAACTAGGGTTTTATTATACAAAGTATGTGTCCGACCTATCTTAGAATACTGCCCGTTTATTCTTAGCGGACTCAGACAAAATGACAAGCTTAAATTAGAGGGAGTGCAACGGCAGTTTACCTCAAGAACTCTTGGTTTAGAAAGTGGTCTGGAATACCATGAGCGATGCGTAAGACTAAGATTAGAACCCCTCTGGAAAAGACGCCTTAAGCTAAACCTTATCTTTTACTATAAGCTAACTAATCTTCTCTTGCATTCCTCCGAGCCAATAACTAAACCTACCGCTGTCATCAGTTACAATCTTAGAAATCATCACAACCTAGCTGCTATGGAGCACTGTCAGACTTACGTGCGGTACAACTTCTTCTTAAATAAGTTTTCAGTCATTTGGAATAGACTACCAGCTAATGTGCGCGATGCAAACACACTTCCAGTGTTCATCTCCTCAGTCACCAGACTACTCAAAGATGACAATGCACTTTTGCGCCTGACTCTTACACCTTCTTTTTCACCCTACATAGATATTTTAAGTTCTTTAAACGTGTAGTTACAACAAACTACAATTATAAATTTTAATATTATTGGAACTAGATGATTAACATTTCTACACAGGACAGTAATAATATTAGTTTACACATAATATAAAAGTTAGCATAACGGGACTAGTTAGTTTGTGTACCAAAATAACCACAGTTACTAAACAGAATATATATGTATATATTTATTAATCACTCCTTAAGGACTCCCGTTGCTTTCTTTTGCGTTGCTGTTGTTTGTCTTCTTTTTTCTCTCACCATTTCAGCTTCCATTTGACTTTTTGAATGAGAATGAATAATGTGGATATTTGACCATTTACAATGACAAATGATCTGCAAACATTATTGGTCCCGTATCTTTCAGTTGCCTGGTTAATAACGAATTAACTTTCTCCACGACGCAACCTGGATTACATTTGTGGAATATACTCTTATACCAATGGAAAAGTATCTATTTGTAATACAACGTCACGATTGTAGCTTATAACATAACTGATCGTATCTGTAAAAATAGCTTCCTTATTACCCAATTTGGATATAAATCAAATCAAAAATAAGATTCGGATTTGTACACACCCAAGTTATATTGAGGAATTACTTCAAGCTTTATTTTTTCCCAAGTATTTTTAATCCATCCAAAACTTACTTGGGTTTTTTTGTTAATGCGAAGTTAATATTCCTATATTTCATGACGTGCTCCATTGAATGACTGGTTATCATATTGTTCCCACAGACCTAAGACAAAAACGCCAGCAACCATGTAACTTAACCATAAACCAAATTTATGAAATTTATATAATGCTTATCCATGCCTGTATATTTGGTGTGTCCTACACAAGTAGGAAAAAATGTGTATTTTATTAAAACATTATTATTAATTATGATTGCTAATCGTATATGTAATTTATCATATTGATGATGCCTGTAAACTGGCGTCTCTCATGTACAAAATGAGAATATACTATTATTATTATTAAAAACATAAACCAAACCACACGTTGAAGTGCACAGAAACACGGCTGCTCAGAAGAGAATACGACCTATTGGAAAGAGTGCAAACACAAGCGTCCAAATGGGCGATGTGTCTCCGGAACAAAGCATAAGATGAATGGCTGAAGAAATTGGATATTTTCACTCCCGAATGCCGTCGGCTTACTAGAGCTTAATTTCTGCATATTGGATTATGAATGACTAGAATCAACCAGACGAAGGTATCCTGACATTTTGTCCGTATGGGCTTGTGGGAATCCAGGATAAATAGCTCATCAGAGAGGGAAAACTCAAGCGCTGTCCCATATCTTTCCACTTTGTGTTTGTCGTTCCTGGGACTCTGTAGATGTGGCTAAAGCCCATTCAATGGACAGTCATGCATCCGCACAAGGACTGATTCATAACGGCCAATCCACCTAAAATCTCACACACTGTTAGTGGGGAGGGGCGACTATATTCATCGTTTCGCTTCTTCACACTCTCTCCGTACCTACTCTTCCGACTACTCAGAATATAACGTCCCTTACACAACTATTCTTACCGATATATATGCGTATGTACAAATTTACTATATATATATATATATATATATATGTTAATGTCAATTTCAAACTTCACAAGCGGTTTGTATTTTAGTATTTCTTTCTGTTTTTTTAATCTACATAACCTACACTGGTTACATCTGTTAGTATTATCTCTTTTTTAAGAACACCGGACAGCCAACAGGTGAAACGATCAACTAAAATAACATTAGCAACATGGTATTAACACACCGCACAACACATTCAAAATATAACTAGTCTCCGCACCATTCTTCTGGGAGTCAGCCAAGGCTACATTAGTCGAGTGGCGGGACGAACTGCGAAGGAGCTTCCTGAGGACCGCGAAAGCCTACTTCACTACCAAAAAGCGAACACAAAGAAGTCAAATTGGCTTACAATAGCTCGTAAAGATCGATTTTGAGCATTGGATATTGGTCTGGCGGTTAATGCAAGTGAGGGAGCAATGTGGTGCATTAGGTAAGAGTAAGTGTGACACCTTGAACCCCCTTGACTTATGCGCATGTATGATTTATTGAGTAGGGAAAATAAGATTTCACATCCAGGAATCATCAGAGATTTACTCTGAGGGAATATCTTATGACTTTTTGGATGGTGTCACATACGATAGTAGCTCTAAACTGTTAGAAGTATGCATTCTGTGTAAGGGAGAGCTCCATGGACACTGGAGCGTTCAAAATGCAATTAACGACATATTTGTAAGCAAGACGAAGCATAAGAAGGCTTGACGTAAATGCCTGTGAAGTTGAAGTCGTCTGTACCATTGGTTGCAGAAAAGCTGATTCTTGGTATGGATCGTGTCAGTGGCAATTTCGTACTTTACCTTATTTTCTGTATAAATACAGTCACTTTTGTCATAATAAATGAACCTGGTTTTACCGCTGATTCTCGCGTGTTCTGCTTTACCAGTTAAGTGGGCACTGGTCAGTAGTTAAGCGATGACCTCGTGACAAAAGATCAAGCATCAAAACACTAATGTACTTCTAATCAACAGAATTCATGTTTCATCAAAATAGATGAGTCATTCACGGTTGTATACCGAGTAGGCATACACCTCCTAGACATAGTTGAAGCTGTACAGATGATTAGGAAGAAACCTGACCAATGTCTGCAAAACAGCTCTTTCATGCTCTTTGTTTACGCCAGCCTACTACAAGGCCATCAGGTACACAATATGCGTTTTCAAGTTTCGGTAGAAGTTAGAAATCATGGGCCATTGAATTTGGTCCCAGTGGCTGAATGGTATATATGATTGCCTTGTGATCGGAAGGTCATGGGTGCAGAGGCCAGTGGGTGCGTAGTGCTGTCAATGATTCCCAAACTAGGATGAATCAGCTGTCAAGTACTCTGTGGTTTCCCATTGGTTTTCCAACTGATGCCGGCTTACGGTGAAATCCTTTAAACGTCATATGAGGCCTTCCTTATTCATTTTCACCCAGTTCACTTCACTCAAATAGGGTCACTAATATGTGTCAACCTTCGTAATTTACACCAAGCATATCATGTCTCCAGCATTATTATTATATCCTTTAATTCCTAGAGGATTATAGGGCTTCAGCTGCCCATCTCCATTGCCTTCTGTTTTCTCCCAACTTTTTCACCACGCTCCGAGTCTGCCCACATGCTTTCATCTCTTCCTCACATGACCTCCTCCAAGTCACCCTTGCATTGACGACCAACTCGCCGCTTCCCTTTCGGGTTACACTCGAGCGATGGCTTGTCTAGTGATGTCACTTGATGGTTTTCTCAGCCTATGGCCAGTCCATCTCCACTTCTTCCTGCCTATTTGTTTCACAATCGGATCCGGCTGGTTGATTCATTGCCAGAGATCCCCTCTGTTGCTAATCTTTTCTGGCCGGCTGGCCATCTGATCTTGAGTATTGAGCGAAGACAACTGTTAATGAAGTTCCGAATTTTGTTTGAGATGGTCTTTATGAGGCGCAGTGCAAGTCTCTGATCCGTATAGTGAGTAGCACTGACTTCACATTGGAGTTGAAAATCCGGATCTTATATTCGTTTTTATACTGAGTGCTGTTGACCTCCACACAGACTTAAGAGTAATGAGAGCTTGTCTTGCTTTTCCGATCCTCGCGGCTTTGATATCCTCGTCAATTCCGCTGGGCTGAAGTTGAAACGATGCTTCCTAGGTAGGTAGGTAAAGGAGATTGTTTCTGGAATTGATAGTGTTCTCTGAGCTCCTTGGTTAATTGCGGAGCTTTCATCGTCTTTCTGGACGACATCTTCAGCGCAGTATTTGGGATAAAGTTCTCCCGGTTCCTCCCATTTATGCTGGCTGATTGTTGTCTGTTGTTGTTGGTGTTGGCCAGGAATCTTCATTACCTCTGTTTTATCTATCTTCACCTGAAGTCCTATTTTCTCTGGATGCTCCTTCTATCTCCAACTTGTTGCTTTTCATTTGCATATCTTTCAGTTCGTGGGAAATCAGACATATGTCATCATCGGCGAAGTCCAGATCCTCCAAGTTATTTTTTGTGTGAGTCCATTTTATGCCTGTGTCCTCATTGGCCGTTGTCTGTCTCATTACCCAATCTACTGCAATCGGGAAGATCATTGGCGATAGTATACAGCCTTGTCTCACTCCCGTCCTCACTTCGAAGGCTTCCGTAAGTTTTCCGTTGTGGATCACTTGGCATGCACCATTGTCGTATAACTGTTGGATGAGATGTATAATTGTCGGTGGCACCCCGTAGTAGCGAAGTAGTTGCCAAATCACCTCTCGATCGACGCTGCGCTGTCGAAGGCCTTCTCAAAGTCGATGAAGTTGAGATAGAGAGGTGACTGCCATTCCAAGCTTTGTTCAATGATGATGCGTAGAGTGGCGATTTGATCAATACATGACTTGTTTCTCCAGTATTTGAATGCATATCACAATCCAACCTCTTCACTTTCATCATTACACTTGTTAACTATCAGTCCTCGAAAATACATTCGTTGTGCCTCATCTCTTTGTAGGAATTTTGTAGTAGCCATGTTTCTCCCACACCACTGAGCACATCTCATCATCCTCCACAACCATATATATATATATACAATTGGTTTTTAAGAAGTTATATCCGGTGAGGGAATTAAATCATATGTGTGAATGCATAAAATACTACTACTACTAATAATATGAAATGCAATTAAAAGTAAAACGTTTGTGATTATAATCACAGTTAAATGTCAAGTGGCAAAACAATTAAAGCCATTAATAGAATAATTCATAGGATAGAAGGGTGTGCAATTATGGGATTGATAGACAAATCGAATAGAATAAAAAGGTTACGTAACACTGTGTGAAATTTGATAGCAAGGAATTGATTTAGAAGGACAAATGGAACAAGTGAAATAATACTGGAGACAGTTCAAAGTGAGAATATATATTATTATTATATTATTAAGAATAGTAACAGTAACAATTGACATAATAAACGGAGAGTATACAAATTGAATAGACAAAATGAAAAAAAATTGGTAGCGGCAAAATGTGATCGGGGATTACCATACTTTAGCATAGAGAGATTAAAACCATATAAGTTGGAAGGTTGAACGAACTTTTTCTGTACACAGAGATCTGGCTTTTCTGTCTCGATAATCAAAGCTTCAGCAATGCAGATGAGTCGTCATTATCGACCAGATGTTCAATAATCGCGCTTCTTATTGCTCCACTTCCACCTCTTCGTAACCATGCAGGATAGTGTTCTTGCATCCTCTTGGACAAATCTCGAGTCGAACGACCGATATACCTAGTTCCACACGAGCAGGTGAAGTGATAAACACACAAAGAGTTGGTCAACAGGGGGATCTTGCCCTTCAGGCTATTGAACAGTAATGGTTGACTAGTGAAGGCTATTCTCAGGGATGCAGCAGGGAATGTTATTTTCAGGGACTGTCATATCCTTCTTTTCATGATATCGGAAGCTAAGTCACCTTTGAATTCCAAGCTCATGTAAAGTAGTTTCTTGGGTGTGGACGGCAAGTCACGTTTCATGGGATTCGAATGTAAATTCTTGTCTGTAAGACACAGTGGGAATCCATTTTCCTTTAGGATTTTCCCGAAAAGGTTTAACTCATCCTCGACAGTATCAGGGCTGTATATGCGCCAAATGCGAGTGGCAAGCCACCAGCCCAGGTTCCGTTTTCCACCAACGGATACCGAGCTGTGGGAATTTGTCAGTTGACCATTCCATGACAGCTTTCCATAAATCGATCTCTTCAGACATCCATAGGTCCTCCTTGAGAAGTTCACATCAAGAAAATTAATACTAGACTCGTTCTCCATTTCGAGTGTGAATTTTATCGCTGGATTGCAATCATTGAATGCATTTCATATATTATTCAAATTACAATCACTATTACAAATAATAAGGGTGTCATCTGCATACCTTTTATGCACTTTAAAGCTTTGGATTGTCGACTTCAACTGACCA